CAAAAATTCCAAAACTCTGGCATCTATGGCCAGGTCACGGTCAGATTGATTGAAAGTTTGGAATTTTTTGAGCATTACAGTGTTTCGTGGGTTTTAAACCACGAAACACGGCTATGCTCAAAAAAATGAGCTTTGAGGCTGTGAAAAGTTGATTTTTTTTGAGCATTACAGTGTTTTGTGATGTTCAGGCCACGAAACACTGTAATGCTCAAAAAAAACCAACTTTTTGCGGTCCCCAAGCTCAGGAAACGCTGTAATGCTCAAAAAAATCCAAAATTATTTTTGCCCTCGGCCTGGCCATAGATGCCAGAATTTCTGGAATTTTTTGAGCATTACAGTGTTTTTTTAAGTTTCAGGTTTGAAAATTTTGCATTTGTTGAGCATTACAGTGTTTTGTGAGGTTTGGACAGCGAAACACTGCTATGCTCAAAAAAAGTCAGCTTTGAGGCTTTGAAAAGCGAATTTTTTTGAGCATGACAGGGTTTTGTGATGTTCAGGCCACGAAACACTGTAATGTTCAACAAAAATGAATTTTTCACAGCCTCCAAGCTCACGAAACGCTGTAGTGCTCAAAAAATTCAAAGTTTTGAGGAACTTGCGCTCGGCCTGGCCATAGATGCCAGAATGTTGGAATTCTTGGAATTTTTTGAGCACTACAGTGTTTCGTAAGCTTTGAGGCTTTGAAAAGTTGTTTCTTTTGAGCGTTACAATCTTTTGTGAGTTTTAAGCCACGAAACACGGCTATGCTAAAAAAGGTGAGCTTTGAGGCTGTGAAAAGTTGATTTGTTTGAGCATTACAGTGTTTTGTGATGTTCAGGCCACGAAACACTGTAATGCTCAAAAAAATTCAACTTTTTACAGCCTCCAAGCTCAGGAAACGCTGTAATGCACAAAAAAATCCAAAATTGTAAGGAATTTGCCTTCGGCCTGGCCATAGATGCCAGACTTGTGGAATTTTTGAGCACTACAGTGTTTCGTGAGTTCTGGGCTCGGAAATTTTGGATTTTTTTTGAGCGTTACAGTGTTTCGTGCGCCCCATGCCCCAAGAACTACGATGGCGTGGATCTTGGAGGCGGGGGGGCGAACACACACACACACACACACACACACATATATATATATATATATATATATACATACATACATACATATGTATATGTATATGTATATGTATATGTATATGTATATTCATATTTTTCCTCTCATATTTTTCTTATAGTTTTCTTATAGTTTTCAATTTATATTTATGCATGAAGGTTTGTATACAAACTACAATAGTATTGACTGATATAATTGTTAGTATGTACAGTGTATGCTTGTCCATATATGTGCACATCCAAGCATCCCACAGACTTCCTTTACTATCTATCCGTTTGAGTCTCTTTCTGCTTCTGTCTCTCCCCCTCCCTCAGTCTCTCGCTCGCTTGCGCTCTGTCTCGCTCGCTCTCTCTCTCTCTCTCTCTCTCTCTCTCTCTCTCTCTCTCTCTCTCTCTCTCGCTCTATTCTATGTTCTTGGTTTGGAATCAATCTGGCAACGCTCGCACTTGTGCCTCGTGGATTCTTGTGCCGCTGCCGCAGTGTTGGAGCCATGGTCGTTTGGGCGGTTCAGAAGCCATGGCTGAAGCAGAACTTGCCGTACCGGGCTGCCCACTTTCCAGCCTTTCCGGGGCTGGGTGGTTTGGGCGGTAACCCCTGGCAGCAGCAGCGGCGACCCCCTCCAACTGTGCCAGCAGACTTTCAGGCCTGGTGGACGAGCTTTTGATTCACCGTCCAACACGGCCGATTCAGGTGGATTCCAATGCTCGGCATTTCGGAACATGCGTCTACTACCACAAGTGGAGAGGGTATGGGTGCCGCGCTTGTATTCAGAAGTCAACGATGACTGGTATGTGCCTTGTGTGTCACTTATGTCCACTGAGGTTCTTGGAGCCAACTCATGTGGGCACGGTCCCTACGAACAAAGTCTTCGTCCACTGGAAGCAACTTACCAGTGATGACCGGTTTCCCTTTCTGGTCAAGGGACTGGAGGCAGGGCTCTTCAGACGCTTGCGTTCGCTTTCTGGGAAGACTGCAGGTGGAATTCAGCCTCATGGTGTCCAAAGACTTCCACAGAGGGCTCAACACCCTCCGGGCCAAGAACGTCACTCTGGTGCGCAGCCTTCGTGCAGCTTCAGATTCGGGTCCCTGGTATCTGCCGGTACGACAGGTGGGAGGAGAGAGCATCGCCCTCCAGGATGAGTTGGACGCGACGGAGAAGCAATTCGTGGGCGGACAACATCTCAGGTATACTGGAACCTTGAAGTTCTATTCGCCCAGGCCAGCAATGAATGAAGCAGTTGTATCGCCACACAGCGCTACACTGCCTAGTGATAGTGTGCTTGCAGTGGGGAGGCATGGATTTGGCTACGTCATGATGGACGAAGGACAGCATTCTCTGCCTTTTCCCTTTCATGGCATGCAGCAAACCAGGCTACGATGTGGAAGCTAGCGTTCCGCTTGAGCTCCGGGTGGACCATGAAGAGGCAGCTGAGAATCTTAGAGGTCACCGGAGCTGCGCCTCATTCTGAAGTGCAGGTCAACGCCGCAGGGCAGCAGCCTGCCCACATGCGTGACATTGCCGTTGAGTTTGGCATCTACCGGTCCGGTCCTAAGATATGTGCCTCCGTCCAGGGCAGTCCGAGGCTTGAGAACCGCCAACCGGGTAGTGGAGAGCCCGGACAGGACCGATCGCGGCCAGTACAAGGTCTACAACATGACCTTGCAGGGTGGTCATCCTCTGACCCAGGCGGCTCGCTGTCCTACGCAGATCACACTTCTGCTTGAGTCTGCTTGAGGATGCATTGGAGAACCGGATCTCCATGGGAATGGGCATGTACAGAGGTCAAATAGCTTTTTGGAACTGGAGGCAAGCCCGGCCAGGGGTGTCCTGGGCTGTCCAATGCACACCTGATTTTGCTTCAATCGGGAAGGCAAGGCTATGGCTTCATTCGGCCCGACCCGACAGCCATCTTACCAGAGAAGGCAACATGATCCGCATGAATCTGCAGGGTTTCTAAGCCACGGGAGCTTTTCTGCGTCAAGTGTCTTTTTATCCAAAGCGGAGCTCACCTGCCGAGGTGGTGGCACGTCTTGTCGAGCAAGCAGAGGCCGCACGCAAGCGGGGCAAGCGGATAGCCGAGGAGCGCAGCAGTGAAAGTCTCGCTTAAGCATCGCTCGGTTGTGTGTTGTTTGGCGCCTGCGAGGATAGTCTCCTCTATTTCCGACGGCCAGATGTCACACCGATGCTGATTCCACAGCAGGGCATGCAGGCGGAGCGGCCTTTTGCCAGTTGGCGGTTCGATCAATCCAGTGGTACTCCCGCAGAACAGCCAAGAAGCTTTTCCTTTTCCGTGGTGCTTGGAGCCACGCATGGCTCACAGCAAGCGGCGGCGACAAACTTCGCCAGAGCTCGCCCCCCACCCACAGGTAGACCAAAGGAAATGCACCGTCTTTTCGAGTCGCTTTCGTTTAAAGGGTCAGTATCAGTTGGGCAGAGTCAATAAACGGAGCATGTCGCAGCCGAAGGATTGTTTTTCGGCTGTCGCGACCTTCCCGTGTTTGCGTTCTATCCTAAACTTCATGCCCAGGGGAAGCACGCATGGCGGAAGGAATTTGGAACAGCAAGGGAGGCCAAGGGGGCCAAGCAAGGGGCCAGGGGGGGTTCCGGCCGCGCGGTTTGAGTGACAGAACGAGCGCGATTTTTGTCGGTCCCCTCCTACTGCTCGCTGGAGGGCCCCTTTGCATTTGGGGCCCAAGTAGCCTCCGGTTTAGGGTCGTTACTTTAACAGGGCCCGAACCACACGGCAAAGCCGCGAGTCTGGAGATCGGAATCATCCCAGAACAGAACCGCCTGGCGTCAGTGCAAGATCTACATACTGCAAGATCTACATACTGTAGATCATACTGTAGCGCCTCACAGCCACGGATAGACACCGCACCGCGTCTCTGCCGCCGTGTTGGAAAAGATGGCGCAATGCAGTACTGGGACTGCGCTGCATTGCAAATTACTCGCCCCTCATCTGCAGGTTGGCTTTCAAGTCTACATCGATGACAAGGGAGCTGGAGCATGTGATGTCACTGCATAGGCATCCCCGGTCTGACAGAAGATCTCACCCCCTCGCCGAGGGCACACGGACAGAACGGCCATCAATCAAGTAACGAAACTGCATGGCAAAGCTGGAAGTGCTGTATTCAAATGGAACCATGGAAGAAACTCATCCACTGGCCAATACCGTAAATGCTCTGGTCTTCGTGACCCGTTCGTCTCTTTCTAGGTTTGTTGGATCGCATGCCTGGCGTGTGACTTGACAAAAAGGGGGAATCCGCCTCTCCGTCGCTGCATGCTCGATAGAGATTTGCTAGCGCGACAGCTGTTCGTGTTTGCAGCTCGCCACTGCTGCTTGCCCGTTCAAACTTGCTACTCTGTAGAGGAGAGCACTTACAAGACCGGCATGTTCTATGCTTATCTATGCTCTAGGTCTGTCCAGAGGCGATCGGTGCTTCGGGGTTGATCATCATCAGTACTATTACATTCCTGGCCGGCCCAAAATGCTGTTTAATTCCTGTGGAGGCTCCACGGGGAAGAGGATGGAGGCATGCGTGGACTGCGCTGTTCAAGCTAGTGCATCGAAGTTTCGGCCCCGCACAGTATTATTTTTACCACCACGTGGTGCTGGTGCTGTTGCTGGTGGTGATGCTGGTGGCGGTTTTTGTTGCTTCTGGTGGTGGTGCTGCTTCTGCTGGAGCAGCGGCGCTGGTGGCTGGTGGTGGTGGTGGTGGTGGAGGTGCCAGCGACGCCACCACCACCGCCGCCGCCACCACCCCCTCTCCCACCCCCACCCCCACCCCCACCACCACCGCGAGTGCCGGCACCATGTCATAACTATCCGTCAGACTATCCCATGACGGCCCTGAACCCTAAGTCCTAAATCCAAATCCCTAATTTGTGGTGTTTGCTTCCGATGCTCGCGCTCGACGGAGCCGGGGGTCACAAGGCCAGTCGACTTGACATGGTCAACTCGCGCTTTCGTCAGACGATGCGGGCTCAAATTGGTCCAAGCAAAATGGACTCAACATTTGCCATGCTGGGGCTTTGGGTCGCCTTGTGCCTTCGCGGCGTTTCTGCAGCCAACTTCGATTCCTGGTCTTTGATCTTGCTCGAAGATGCCGCAGCGGAGGGAGCAGTTTGCTTGGACGGCTCCCCAGGGGGATACTTCTTTGAGCCGGGCTCCGGCACAGGCGGGGGCTTCATAAGACACTAGGGCACTAGGGCCATGTTCATCTTGGGATCTAAGGCTTCTTAAGGGTCCTTAAAAGTTGGATCCTATTCAGGGTTCTATATTAGGAGACCATCAGGACATTAGGGTCCCTTTATGTCTTGAAACTTCCAGGCGCCCAAAAATGGATTATCCATTTTCAAGGGGGAGGCTGGTGCACGAGCCTGGCTGCTTGCTTTCTCGCTTCGGAGAGTCCTTTAGGCAGCTCCGCCACTTGGGCAGCTCAGAAAGACGCGCTTTTGGGCGACTTTGCACACGGCTACATGTCGAACCAGGCTGAGGTCAACCCGGACATGTACAACTGGAGTCTTGAAGCTGTTTCAAGCAGTTCTGTTCAAGTTTTTTCTGAAGGTAACACCAACAACTCTTGGAGATTTGTGTTACAGTACTGTCTTCAGGAAAACCAGAGTTATAATTTTCAGGGAACCCTGAGGGGGCCTCCACCAATAGCCCCTAAAGCCTAAACCCTAAAACCCCAGGAACAAGGTCTGGGCTCTCTACTGCGATGGCGGCAGTCGCGCTGGCAACGTCGATGGCCCGGTAACAGTTGACGACTCTGGCAGCGAGGCGATGGTTCCTGGGAGGGTTTATTTCAGGGCTCCTTTAAGGCAGGCCCTAGAAGGGTTCTATGAAGATTCTGCAAGAGGTTTGTTTCAAAAACGTCTTTTTTTCTAAGGGTTCTTGTAAGGTTGCTAGATTGTAGGCCCTTTTCTGGTACCCCTCCTATTCCGCAGTCAACTGTTACGGGGGCCCTGCATGAGCCATCATAAGTTGGAACAGCTCTCTTGTAAAGCTATGCAAAACTCATATAGAGAAAACTTCAAGGAATCTTCAAAGGACCCCTTATAGGAAACCCTTCAAAGAACACTCCAAAATTTAGTTATAGAGCCCTTGTAGATCCATAGCCGATTCATAGAACCAGCATCGACGCCTCCTAGAGCCCCCAAAGAATACCATAAAAGACTAGTAGTTTCCATTTGATTTTCCATGATTAACAGTGGAAAACCAAATGGGAATTGCGGTAGTTTCAGTTTGATTTTGCATTATCCCTCAGGTCTACTTCCGGGGCGCACACATCCTCAATGCCACTTTGGACAGCCTTGCCTCGGCCGGTTTGACAGGAGGGGCTGCTTTCTGGTGGCGCCTTCGAGGGTTCTTTTCAGGGTTCGGTACGGGTGTTATAAAAGGGCTGTTTACAGTTATCGGCCCTTCTGGGTGCCTTTGGGATACTACTCAAGAGACCCACTGGCCACCCAAAAAGGGGTCATATTTAGAAGGAACCTTAGACCCAGCATTTAATCGTAACCTTGAACCCTTTTCAAACCCTAAACCCACTTTAAAGGGAATCCTCAACACCTTTTAGAAGGGACCCAAAACCTCCTTCAGAAGAGCCGTTGCAGGAGCGGAGTCTCACGTACACGAGGGCTGTTTTGAAGTTTGCGCATTTTTTGGGTATGCTTTTAAATATGTAGAGGGACCCGAAACCCACTTTAAGGGGAATTCTAAATCCCCCTTGAAGGGGACCAAGCGGCAATAAAAGGGTTTTGGAGCCCTCACAGGAGCGGACGATCTCATCGTCACCGGCGAATCCGCCGGAGGTCTCACGGCCTTGCTGCACGTGGACTTCATCAGCTCCCGTTTCCCTGGTGTGAAGGTGGTTGGCACCCTAAACCCCCAACCCTTAGCCCTGATCCCTAAACCCTCAACAGTGAAGGTGGTTGGCATGAACTACTGTGGCTTCTTCGTCGATTTGCCGGATGCACAAGGTATGCATGGGCAGGCTGAAGTTTGGAAGTGGGTCTTCGTGACGATGAACATGAGATATTCTCCGTCCTTGAGCACAGACTGCTTTGACGCATATGCAGATACACCATGGCAGTGCTTCCTAGCTCCGAACCAGCTGCCCTTCGTGAAGACGCCGCTCTTTGTGCTTCACTCCCTCTACGATTCTTGGCAATCGAGCCAGACGCTCCAGTTACCATCGGGCTGTGTGATCGAAGGCACATGTTCCCAAGAGGAACGTGATCTGCTGCACTCCCTGCGGGATGCTGTCTCGGGCAACTTGTCCTCCTTGCAGGCTCCGTCATCTTACTTCCTCCACAGCTGTGTGGGGCACTGCGAGCTTGGACTCAACGATTTCGGCTGGACAGGACTCGTCGTGAAAGGCACCAGCCTCCGGGAAGCTTTCAGATCGTGGCTTGGGGGCCAAAGCGTTTTCCTCTCCGAAGGCGACGTGGACCCCAATGCCAACCCCACTTGTGCGGCGGCGCATGTTGAGCCTGAGGGGCCTGACCCTGTCCCTCTGGTCACTTCCGGCCAGTACGAAGTGCTGGGCCAAGCCGTGAATCAAGGCTCAACGGATCCAGAGATACGCGAGTTCATGGAGTTCGTGCACGACCCAACCAACTTCAACCTGGGTATGGATGGTCATGTGGACGTCTCAGAAAACACAGTCTTTTGGGGTGTCCTGGGAATTATTTAGGGTGCTATATTCGGGAGTCCGAAAGCCCCTACACTAAACCGTTGAAGCTTGCATAGTTTTTGTTGAATATCACGACAAGCCTATAAAACCTCAACCCAATATTGGGGGGTCCCTGTTTTCTGAAACTCCCACGCGTTCCTGTTCACTACTGAAGCTCCCAGGTCCCAGAACTTTTTTAAACAACCTTCAACAAAACCCCAACTGAGCGGCGTTCTAAACTCCGGCTGTGGCAGTTTATATAAACGTCAAGATTTGTCTGGTCCGCGTCAGCTGGGACTCGGTGCGCGTCAGTGAAACTATAACTTTGCTCATGCCGTAGCTGACGCGTCAGTGGACTAGAAACGAGTATTGACTTAAGTTACTTAGGAGTCCGACGTCGTGATTTACTGAAACCCAGAGGTCTTCTTCTTGACGAGTGGCAAAGGCGTATCACCCTGCGACTTCGCCCCTGAGGATTGGGTGCCTCGGAATGCACGGCGGACGGCTTTTTGTCGGGAGTGGGGAAGTTCGCGAAAGGAACAGTAGGGTCCCTGTGTGGGGTGCTTCGGGCTCCACGTTTCTACTGTAGGTTTCCTTTTGAGGGTTCGTTTCAGAGTTCCGATGCCTCCTTCTGGAAATCCAACTCTAGCTAAAGAGCACATTCTGTGCTGAGCCATCAATGGCTGAAGCAACCCCAAGGAGTTTAAGCAGTCCTTGGGCGTGGCCAGCTTCTTCGCGGACGCTTCTACGGAGGGGAAGTTCGGTGCGAGTACGAAGTCCCCCTTCGGACTTGAGGGTCCTGTGGAAGCTCGGGTGAATCGTTGGTCTTAGAATGCGAGCCCCGAGTAAAGGTTCAGGATTTAGGGCCTGCAGGGTCTAGGGTCCTAAATCCTGAACCGGGTAGTGCCCCAAGGCTAGCAATGCCAACTGGCCTCGCTTCGCCCGATGCGACTGGCAGAATGGTGCACATGCAACAGGCTCGTTTGATGCCCCAGGGCTGAAGTGCAGGAGACGTGAGCAGTGGATTCTAGGAGTCTAGCTTGCAGCGTGGGCTCTTCCGTGCATGATTTAGCATACCTTAACAAGTAAGGTACACAATTTTTATTTATTTTGAGTAGGAGCTACTCAATCGTTTTCACTGTTGTTAATATTAGTGTTATTCTTGTTGTCATTGCTATTACTATTCCTACGATTGCTTATTATAATTATTACTATTCTTATTATTGCTACTAGTATTATTACTACTATGGTTTTATTGCTATTAACATTCTTGCTATTATTTTAACATTTTGTATTATCACGATGTCATTACTCTTATCCTTATTCTTTTTCTTATTATTAGTATTATTGTTCTTATCAGTATCATTATCATCAGTACTGTTAGTATCAGTACTGTTATGATTACGATTATTATCGTTATTACTATTGTCATCATTATTTTTCATTATGGCTATTATTACGAGTACTCTTATCATCATTATTGCTGTTCTCATTATTAGTGTGGTTTTTAAGTCACTATTTGTATTGTTGTCATTGTTGTTATTGTTACTTGTGGAAATGGTAGCCCGGACCTGCCCGTAAACCCTATGAACCCCTTGTGGAATGTAGGCCCCCGGCCTCTGAATGCTGAAAGGTCTTCCCCGAAGACGTGTCGAATGCTGAAGCCTGCGCACAGGCTGAAACGAACCCTGAAAGGACCCCGTCCTCAGAAGTGGTGGTAGCCCTCACACTGTCAGCTGATTTATCAAGCGCGACCGCAACTCCCTCCTCGGTGCTGCGAAAGGCGAGGCACACAAGACAGCTGTTCCAGAAACCTGCTTCACAAGTGTCGGTTTAACACTCGTCAAAAAATCTTCTGAGCTCAAACATTCCTATTCTGAGCAGGCTTCTGCGAATCCTGCGTCTGGGCGTCACGTAACCGCTTCAGCGATTGTCTTTGACCCGCCCTATTCCGAAGTACATCGCCCTCATCGAATAGAGCATAGCTATCCCCCAGGAGCACCTGTCTTAGAGTAGCCCCGTCCATGACCTTTGTTAAACAATCCTTTTTCATTCATTCAAGCGCGTCAACTGAGTCAATTGTCATGCGGACGAGTGTGAGCTTTGTCACTTGTCGCCCCTCCGTAGAGGGTCATCCGGTGGAAAGACGTCCAACTGTGCTCCGAAGAGCCCGACAGCTGGGCGTATGACTGCCTTTGCAGCCTCTTGCTGTGCCCCTTAGAGCCCGACAGCTTGTGTCATGGCAGGGACATAAACCTAGAAAAGAAGCTGTACAAATGATATATACCGGCATCTGTGGCAAATGTGAGGAGACCTCAACCATAGCTTGTAAAGATCGATGCGTTCACTCAGCAGAAAAGCATGGGCAGCTGCAGCTTAGCGGGGAGTGGAATCCACTAGCCCCCAGCATCCTCAGGGAGATACACATCTCTTGTAAGCCAGCATGTAGGAGTTTGTCACGATCGCCTGTTTGGTGGCTGCGGTACCTACAGTCGCAGCTTCCCCGTCATCGTGTAACATGTGGGAGGCCGACAGATCATCGGCATCCCCGGGGAAATAGAAGGCCTTGTAGTGGCCTGCTGTCGCAACCTTCCCTATGTGCAGAACCCCACCACAGAGCTGGTAAGGAACACTGCTAACAGATCCAGCATGATCCGTGAATGTCGGAGCCCCCGATTGAGCCGACTGCCTCCCTCCTGCCTTGCACGGGCAATTGAATAGGCGTTCCTGGGCGAGGCGCTATGTGTCCGATACACTTCCAGGTGTTCGGGCCGACACGAATCCACGACATATGCTTGTCCCTGATCGATCCTCGAGGCACTTACCAGTTCGCCGAGAGCGGAAACCGCTTCGCTGGCTGTGCCTAGCATTAAGGAGGAGGGGCACGGCAGTCTGGCAGGCTTGTCTATTGAGTGCCCTGCAGGGAGTGGAAACCACAGCACCCTGTGTATGCGGCCTGTGCCCTGTCAGGTAGGGCTCCCAATCACTTGGCTGCAAGCATGCACCCCGGTGTACCGGGCAAGATAACACCGCCTTCTGGCGTCTGACTGGCCGGCCGACGATGTCACTCTTGCTGCCCTCTTTCCAGCTCAGGAAGGGAAGTGTTTGATCTGAGGTTGCAACCGGGAGTGGAGTCCACTCACCCTGCGTCCGTGACGTGAAAAATGTCTGTGTGCCCCTTGCGAGTGTGGAAACCACAGACCCAGCCTGTGTTACCTGCATGGTGCCTAGGCCCACAGGTTCCTGATAGGGTTCCTGATGCATGAGTGCTGCTGGTAGGCAATCATAATCATAACCAATGCCGGGAGTGGAGGCCACTAGCCCAGTGACGGCAGCACTATCCAGGGAGTGCAGGTCAAAGCGGCTCTCTGTCTCATGTTTCTGGATCTGCCGCTGAGTGCCTGACCTGTTGCTTGGATCCTGCAAGACAGTTGATCTCCGATTGTGCGCTTCCTGTGCCACCTAAGCGATAGCTGCACCAGCTGGCTGCATTGTCGCCTGATGCAAGCGTCCGGGCTGTTGGCCGCTCCCTGCAAGGCTCTGGCAAGACGTGGCGGAATCTGTGATTTCTTAGCCACCGTGAGCGTGTCTGATTGCTGCTCTTCAGTCTTGCACTCTGAGGGAAGAGCGGCCGTTCCTTCACTGAGTCGCGTCTGCCTAAGCCTGTCAGTGCCTGCAGTCTGCAAGGTAAGACCTGCAGGGCAATGTTCTCCTCCCATCTTGTTATGTAAGGAGGGCATGATAGCAGAGCGAGCAGCAATGATGCGAAAACTCCCAACCAGCTTCTCAGGGCGCAGCCGAATGCCATGCAAAACAAAGCTACCTAAAAGCGTCGAGGGGCCCCGATTCCCGGAGAACCTGTTAGGGCCCGGAGGCACGTTCACCCCCTACGACAACGAGCAAAAAGTAGCGCTTGAGCCGGGGGCTTGTTAGACAAGCCGCTAGCATAGCCTTAGAGTGCACCCAGCGCATAGCCGCATAGCGCAGTTCTCTTTCAGACGCTCCTTCAGAAGAAGACACTTCAACTGAGTCCGAAGTTCAGAGCAAGCAGGCACAGCAGTCTTAGTAGCTGACCGAGGACGACTTTGGAGCCCGCTCTAAAACGAGTTCCGGGTTGGCCAGATCAATGCTTGGGTCCTTCATCCACCCCCACAGTAACCAAAGCTATCTTCTTAGTGGACCAAGCAACTGGAACAACCACGGCTTGTTCATTCTGTTTCATGCGCCGATCCGTACTGATCACGCGTGTCCCCTGATACGAGTTATTATCTTTCGAAGTAGCAAAAGAAGCATCAGAAAAGGTGCAGAACGTTACATGCTCCTCGGGGATCGGAACTATCATGATGGACACGGGATGCTCATGCAAGACTCGATTGGCCTCGATTAAGTGCCTGACCTCCACCCTCGGAATTCTAGACTCCAGATAGCTTATCGGGGCGGCTAAGTCCGGGCGAGTACGAACTGCAGCATACAGAAGGCTACCGTTAATTCGACGGAGTTCATGCACTTCGCTGGGATTGAGCTTGGCCGTGGGGTCTTGTCAACGACTACGGGAAATCTGAATGGGTTCAATCTTTTCAACGTATCTCGCCTGATCCATCTCAAGGCTCCCATCATCCCACTGCTTAAACCGAATGCCGGTGAACGTAAAATCTCCCTCCTCGTAAGACCCAAAAGAGTAGATATCTCTGAGCTGTTGGATCACCTTTGAAGAAATACTGGTCACCACCACCAATACCGTCGTCTACCTGAACCCCTAGTACGCCGTGAGCCTTCGGTGATCCATCGCTCTGTCGCGACACGAGGCTGAAGGTGCAGGCGTCGAACGGACACTGCACAAACCCTAGACTCTCCAGCGTCTGCTTCAGGGTCTGAAACCACCCTGCCATAAGCACCCCTATCTAGCTGACACTGTTCGCCCTTCTGCATTCCCAAAGCCTGCTTCAGTTCCTTCGGCGGAATATAATCCCTAATTTCCTACCCTCTCCCTTTCCTTGCACAAACGCTGTGGAAATGTCGAA